GGTAACGATCTAAACGCACATTAAAAGATTCAAAGAAAACATTTTTAAAGAACTACTTCCTTACCATGTTAACCATCTCCGGGGGCGCGCGGATACCCTTTGAGAATTGTATCCTGCGGGGTGCCATTAGAGGGCCCGACCCCAGGGTTTGGAACCGCAGCTGAGCAACATGTCTCACACTTATGTCTTTATTAATGATTTCCTACCGCTACCAAACCTCAGATAAAAGTGTAATATAAAGTGACATCAGTGCGTGGATAAATAACAGTGCCAGCCACTCGCGACACTCTCTCCAGTGAACAGGCACTGATGCAGTTGCAGGGTGACAGGCAGCAGCAGCACCGGGGCATGGGCAAGCAAGCACTTGTAGTGTAAATTCCCGTGTGGGAGGAGATTGGGTGTGTTTGAGAGTATTCTAGCCTTTTTTCTCCTCACACGCTCCCGTGCGCACAGAACTGAAGCCAAGCCAAGAAGGAGTTCCGTCTCCATGTGATGTGCAGCCGCGTCGGTGAGAGCGCAAGCAGTAATCTCAGATACGTCCTAGCATTTTCTTATTTTATTTTATTTTTATTTTTTAATTGACGCTGGCATGGACAGTTAACCAAGTGCGCCCTGCTTTTTTTTTTTTTTTTTTTTTTTTTTGCTGGCGTCCACTCACTCAGCGCCTACCCCCCCTCCCCTCCTCCCTCCCTCCTGTCCAGCTTCAACAACTGTGAAGTGGCTGCCTCACCGGGTCGGACCGGAGGCCGTCTGGTCTCCGATCTGGTCTCTGGAGTCAGCGGAGACTCGACGCGCTCCGTCAGGACCAGGCTGTACGGTTCGCGGATCGGACCCGAGCCACCCAGAGATCTGGCGATGGAGATGGTGGAGGGAGACGTTTTGGACAAGCTAGAGGACATGTCATCGGTGTACGACTTCGACCCGATAACCGGCAACATCCCCGCCACCAAAGTAGAAATCACCGTCTCCTGCAGGTGAGTGGAAGCGTCCGCCGGAGACGGTCAGGAAAGTTCGGTGTGCAGCGTGGTAGAAAAGTTGCGACTGCGCCCCACCCTTCAGTGAGAGAGTGGTCTGTAATGAATGGAGACAACTTATCCGGTACAGTGGTAAAACGCACTATAGCTGCAGGTTTTGGGTGGGGACAGAGTTGGTTTACTTATCAAGGAAGTTGTTTATTTAATCTATCAACTAAGACTCTTTGCAGTAAGAGATTTTGATGATTTATTTGAGAAAAACTTAAAAACTTCGCATTCATTCGTGCATGCCTGCGTTTCACATCGATTATTTTTAGATATTAAAGGGGAAAAAAAGGTGAGCCATGTTAGAAAAACTCATTTAATGCTGAATGATAACAGTAAGAACCACCTTATGTGGTTCAAGGTGCTATACTCCTTACCAAAATGTCCAAATGTAACCTAATCTGAGCAGATAATTGAGTCTGCTTTGTCTTCCTTCTGTGGATTTATGTATGGCATGTATGTATTAGACACATCTCCTCTTGTAGCATCTGTTCATGCAGAAGCCTCTTTCATATTGAAGCCCATACTGTCCTCGCTTTAACCACTGGCTGCTTTTAACACCAGCAAAGCACTGAAAGCCTTTTTCCTTCCTCTCCTGCATTCTTTACAAAGTACTGGATGTTAAAGATTCAAAGGTTTACATCACATTCACACAGCGCTAGTGTCCCTGACCTCAGTCTAAGTCACATTCTTAATTATTCAGATCAAAGGTACTTCCTTTTCAGACAGTGCTTCAGGAAAATAAATCCGCCCTCACCAAATGAATTTCCCTGCAGCGCTTGTTCAGTGAGAATAAACAGCCACTCCCGTTCCCATTAGGAAAGGTTTTAAAGTCAATGCTTTCAACGCCTTTTGCCTCTCAGACATAAACTCAACTGCTGGCATGTGTGCGCATCCTCACACACACACGCACACAATCTTTCTGGTCTTTGATGCTGGATCTTAGGTTGGTGAGCCATCGAAGCAGAGTGAGTTTGAGCTATAACAAGCTATGTGTGCATTATTGATGGGGTTTCTGATGTTCAGTGAAGCTTGCTGCCACATCTCTCAGAGCTCAGAGTAAAAAAAAAAAAATAAATAACAAAACAAAAAAAACAACCCAGACCCTGGCAAGAAATGAGTGTGTTTCAATTTTCTGAATGAACAACGGTTTGCCTGTTTGTGTTGTGTAGGAAATGGTGGGTGATGGTGGAAAATCAGTTTAGAGGCAGAAAGGATGGCTAGCAAAGTGTTGCATACGAGTTGGAGCCTTGCATGGTTTGGGGTTTTGTGTTTTTCACCTTGTAACGATGAGGTGATTGGGATTACATGCCTCAGTGATGCAATTAAACACCATTCAGGTAAATGATGAACCCTATTCTGACAACCCCCTGCATTTATGCAAATTATTTCTCTGACACCGTGTGTGTATGTGTGTGTGCTCCTGTGCTGTTGTGGTGCAGATGCCTCCTACTAGAAAGGATTTTGGAAGAGGAAATCATTAATCGAAAGGGGAGGGTTGATGCTTTCCCTCCTGTTTCTCTGATGCTTTGAGTGTGTGTGTGTGTGTGTGTGGGGGAGAGAGAGAGAGAGAGAATAAGAGTAAGAAAGAGCAGGAAAAGCTATGAGAGTTCATCTTAGTAAAGCACACATTTAATGCAGACAAGATTAAAACTTTAAATGACTGATTATGATGTCATTTGTATGGAATACATATATGTAACATACTCTGAACAAGCTTACTGATTAGGGGGTGGGTTTACTGTGATCATGCTTGATGTAGGGTTGCCATGGATCGCAGCCTAATGAGCTTTAAAGAACACCTTGACTCTACAAAAGGTCCAATTTTCCAACATACGCTGCAATTTCTGTGGAGTTATAATAAATGGTAGGCGACTGTATCAGGCACTCTTCAAGCAGAAGAACACAACAGTTAAATCTTTCTGTCACATTCAAACACTTATAACAGTTATAACAGTTCAAGGCCTCACAAAGCCTCTAAATCCGCTTTAAAGATGTTGTGTGAGTCAGATTCCTATTCAAGAGAAGAGGCTCCCTGTAGGGTCTTCTTCACTATTCTCCCTTTGTCATCATGTACACTCTCTAAAACCTCCAAACCATGATGATAGCTGTTCCCTTTAGGTTAATACCCCTTATTACAGGCTACACACCCTGCTTTTGACAACATATCATTATCAGGACCAGTGACGGTGGGGGGGGGGCTGGATCTGTAAAATAAGGGGGGGAAATGATAGGAATTGGTTTGTCTTTCATTAACGGAGGGGAGAAGACTGATGGATTTGGTGGCAGGAAGTTGCAAACGTGGAGTAATTCTGCATTTGCAATCTGTTTAGTGCTAATTCGAGAATCCGGATTTAGTTTTAGTTACTTAACCTCAACCATAAGTAATATATGAACAGACAGACACCATGTGTCATTTCCAGCACATTTGTTTTGTGGGAAAGCTTGAAACAGTTTGACAGTATAGCAAAATAGTGGGGCCAAAATGCAACCTGTGTCTTTTCTTAAACTGGTGTTTACACTCCCACAGGGCTTGTCAGTCAATGGGCTGGTTCCTGGGGATAAATGAAGGGAGAAGGGTACAATTGGCATGTGGACAGGAAAGCGGAGGTGTTAATCCTGCAGCCACAAAGCCAAAGCTGCAGTCCTCAGTTCAGCCCTTTGTTCAATCCCTCCATTGCCATTCACAAGCAAGTTGAAGTCCCATTCCTGCTCCACTGTCTGACTGTCCAGTCAATTCAAATATCATAAAGAAGTACTTATGTGTCTAATGTGCCCCATAGCCATTTACCAGTCTCAGCTGATGAGAGACTGTCTGGCTTGTGTATTGAAGAGTAGGTCAGTCAATGGAGGAGCACCATCTGCTGAGAGTGGTATTGATAAGCAGTGAGCTCACCTGGCATTACTGGTAGCTATGTTGCTGTGTGCTGGAGCCAATGCAAGAAATCTGCATAACTAAGCAAGTACGATTTGGGGTTTCTAAAGCCAATATTTCACTTTTATTTCACCACAACTATAGACCCACATCCCCAGTTTGTGCCTCTCATGTATTATCATTACATTAAGTTAAGCATCAGTCTTTCTGAAATCCCAAAATCTTACCTAGAAGGTAGTTTCCAGAATCCTTAAAGACTCCTTTAACCATCTGACGCACAATAAAAACATA